GTATCTTCTGACCTGGCACTTTTTTTTTTTTTAAAGATTTTATTTATTTATTTGAGAGAGAGAGAGAATGAGAGACAGAGAGCATGAGAGGGAGGAAGGTCAGAGGGAGAAGCAGACTCCCTGCCGAGCAGGGAGCCCGATGCGGGACTCGATCCTGGGACTCCAGGATCATGACCTGAGCCGAAGGCAGTCGCTTAACCAACTGAGCCACCCGGGCGCCCTGACCCGGCACTTTTATTCTTAGATATCCCAGGGAACCTCATGCTCAGGTATAGGAGTAAACATGTCAAGTGACATTTATCGCATCATTATTTATAAGAGCCAAATTAGAAATGACCCAAATTTTAACCAAGAATATACTGAAAGTTAATAACTAAGAGTTAATTTTGGTATATTCAAACAATGGAATTCTTACAAAAATGAATGAACTAGAGCCACCAATATGGACGACTCTCACAAATATAATAATAAATGAAAGGAGCATGACACAAAAGAATACGTACAATATGATGTCACTCACCTAAATTCTAAAATGGGCAAAATTAAATAATACTTTCTGAAATGTATACATAGGTCATAAGTATATATATTCAGAGGGTGTTTCTGGAGTCCTGGCAACATTCTGTTTCTTGTCATGGGTGGTTATTCATCACACTATACGTATGTTTAATGCACTTTCCTGTATATTTCACTATAAATTTTTAAAAATCATGGGGCTGATTTTTTAAATGTTAGCAATACTCCCTAAATGAAAATTCTGTAAATAATTAGGATTCCCCTAATGCTCCCTGTAAGGACCCAGAGCAAATTTGGAACCTGATTTTTGTATTCTTCTCCTTTCAACTGAAGAAGTTTAAGTTGGCCCAGTGTGGTAGAACAAGAAGTGAGGAGATGGCAATCCATATAAAAAATTAGACTAAGAGATACCAAAATTATTAAATGAGTCTGGCATCAATTAGAGATCAAAGGGATTATTCTATGTCTAAAGTATTAAATCTGTTAATCTAATTTTTAAGTTAAGTAATTTCTTGGGCATGCCTTAAAATTATCCAGCAAGGAAGAGAAAAGTTACCCAGCAATGGCTATACCTGTAGCTGAAAGAGGCAAGGGAGAATGGGAGATGAGGAAGTATAGATAATTCACGGCTATCAAGGAGGGCAAAGTAACAGAATGGAAAATGTAACATCAAGAACAAGGTTTTTTTAATATGGAAGACATTACACTATGTGGTTGAGGTGGTAGTACAAGAATAAGTTAGTTGAAAAGTTAAAAAAATAGCTGTCAGGGCACCTGGATGTGTCAATTGGTTGGGAGTCCAATACTTGGTTTTGGCTCAGGTCATGATCTGGTGGTGGCGGGATCGAGCCCAGCCCCATTTGGGCTCCAGACTCAGCAGGGAGTCTGCTTGAGATTCTCCCTCTCCCTCTGCCCCTCTCCCTGCTCGCATGCTCTCTCTCTCTCTCTAAAATAAATAAATAACCCATTAAAAAAAAGTAGCTGTCAAAGAGAGTGAATGTTTGAAACAGATTTGGGGCTGGTTAATTACAAGGTTTATGTATCACTTAGGGGAGTGAATAAGTGAAGGAATTTGGTGGAGAAAGATCATTTGAAATGAGGTTAAGGAATTGAGAATTAAGATGTATTATTTCTTTTAAGATTTTATTTATTTGTCAGAGAGAGAGAGAGAGTGCGCGCGCATAAGCAGGGGGAGTGGCAGGCAGAGCAGGCAGAGGGAGAAGCAGGCTCCCCATTGAGCAAGGAGCCCAATACAGGACTCGATCCCAGGATCCTGGGATCATGACCTGAGCTGAAGGCAGACACTTAACTGACTGAGCCACCCAGGCGTCCCAAGATGTATTATTGTAAGGATACAGAAGTCACCAACGATGGTGAGAGGTATAGTGGAGAAGAGAAAGTCAGTGGGCCAAGAGTTCTGATCTTCAGTCTATTCAAGGAGAGGATATTGGTAAATGATATGACAAGAACACATACTGGGTGGTTCAGTCTCTGAAGTGCTTTAAAGGAGCTGGGGACTTTGATAATGGAAAATAATGGACTGTGGGATAAGACAAAGCAAGAACCATTATCAAGTACTCTAAGGGAAATTTGTATATTCATGGCACAGCTAAAGTGTTCACTTAAAGCCAAAAGGTGAAAGGAGTAGTCAAAGAGTCTAAAGATCATATGGGATATTTCTTTTTTTTTTTTTTAAAGATTTTATTTATTTATTTGAGAGAGAGACACAGCGAGAGAGGGAACACAAACAGGGGGAATGGGAGAGGGAGAAGCAGGCTCCCTGCAGAGCAGGGAGCCCGATGTGGGACTCGATCCCAGGACCCTGGGATCATGACCTGAGCCGAAGGCAGTCGCTTAACCGACTGAGCCACCCAGGTGCCCAATATGGGATATTTCTTAAAAAGTTTCAAACAGTATGATGGAAGAGATTTGGGTGTTGAGAAAGAGTGGGGAATTAAGTCTAACTGGAAATATATGGTGAAAGAGTTCAGCTGCTGATTGGTGCCCTGGAAAGCTTGGACTTCCGGACCTGAGTGAGGTAACTGAAGGTGTAAGACAAACAGGAATTGGTCCTAAAAAACCTCTTAGGGGAATGTGGGTAATTTTGTTAATGGGAATTGGTCTCTAAGAAAATAGTTCTAATGGTAAGAAAAATACTGCCATGTTAGTACAGGAAGTGATCTTGTTTCCCTTAAATTCTGCTGGAGGCCTGTCAGGGGCTGGTCTTACCAAGAGCACACAAGATTTTGAAGGCTCACTTAAATCAGAGGCACACTGAGTTCTGCAGATCTCCTTTACAGATGTGTTGCAGCCAAAGAGTGATGGTCTTACTATTATAAAATTATAGCTTGGAAATGACTGTAAGAAAACCTAAAAGATCATTACTGAGAATTTGATCAGGAAAGAATTCTCAGGATATAATGATATATAGGCTGAGACCTAAAGAAGCACAGCAGGTAGTCAGGTGAGTAGGGCATTCCAGGCAGAGTGAGTGACATAAGGGGGTGGAGCACAGGTACTAGACATGTAGATACTAGATGTATCTGAGATAATGAATGAAGGCTCCTGTGGCTGGAGTCCAATGAGAAAGGGGAGAGATATCTAAGGTAGGGTTATAAAAACCTTCAGAAGCCAGGTTAGGTAAGGCTTTCTAGTTTTGATTTTATCCATTGTGTGATCTGATTTGTATTTTTTAAAAATATTACTCTGGCTACTGTGTCAAAACCAGTTAGAAGGGTACTGCAATAGCCCAGATCAGAGGGAGTATAGGCTTAAAGGGTTGCTAGTGGATATGAGAGCACACAGAATCAAGAGAGATTTAGTTAAAAGAAATCATCAGGAAAAACTTGATTGTATGGTAGTCACAGCATAGAGTGGCCCCTAGAATGTCTGCCAGCTTTCTGACTAGAGCTATTCACAAGGTTCTAGTTTGAAATCTGTCTACACTTCAAAATGCAGCACTATAGTTATCCCATTTGTACTAATTTTTCTTCCATAAATTTATCTCTCATTGAGAACTTAGAATAATATAATTGCATTCAATATTCCAAATCTTCTCAACCATCTTATCAGTTAGGTGTTCTTTTCCTTTTAAACTATGAGGAAATGGGACGAGGGAGTCAAGCCTGGTAAAGTAATTTGCTTAAGACAAAAGCTGCCACTAAAACTCTGGTCTAAGTAATTACAGTTCTTCCAATCATCCCCTATACTATAATACTATATTACCTCCCATTCCCCTCTCTTCTCTTCTATCTGAACCAATGTACAGCTTTCTTTTCCCTCATTACCAAATCCAATGATCAATTCTCAGTCCTCAACTTACTCATGTTCCCTTATAAGAAAGAGGGCTGCCCCCCCCCTTTTTTTTTGAGAACATCATTTCTTTTTTTTTTTTTTTTAATGTTATGTTAGTCACCATACATTACATCAGATGCTGCCCTTCTTAAATACCTTTTTTCCACTTGGCTTCTGAGATACAACATTTTCTTTATTTTCCTATTAGCTCACTAACTATTCCTTCTCAGTCTCCTTTGCTGGACCTTCCCCTTCTTTCTAACTAAAATACAGACTGGATTAGGGTCCTTCTCTTTTTAAACTATTATATAACTTCATAAATTATTTCTTCCAAGTCTAAGGTTTAAATTCTACTTATACATATATTATTTCTTTCCAGGTTCTTTCTTGATTTCTTCCTAGTTCTAATAGATAATCCTAAAGTATCATGAACAAAACAGAATTCGTGAACACCTGTCTTTCCCAACTAAGAAAAAGATGTCCAATTGCTCAGGCATAAATCTAGTAAGTTATCCTGGATTTCTCTTTCATCACACATCACTTCCAACTAATCAGCAAGAGGCACCGCCTTTAAAATCTGATCAGAATCTGACCCCTTCATGTCACCTTCACTTATTACTGCCCTCATCTAAGACACCATAATTTCTAATCTGGACTAAAAAATGGCTTTCCAACTGGTCTTTCTGTTTCACTCTTGCTCCCATTTTATTTTCTATACAGTATCCACAGTAGTCTTTGAAAATAACAAGTTTAATCATGTCACGCTCCTGCTTTATATCAGCCAATCATTATTGCAGTTTCAATGTAATCCCAATTCTTTGTCATGGCATACAGGTCCCTACGTGACCTAGCCCCACCACCTCTCTGACCTCATTTTCAACTTTTATTCTCCCTCACTAACTGGATGAAAAATATAGGTAAAATTGTTATCACTGGAGGAGGGCTATTCAAACAAAGTTTGAAAATACAGGGGAATGTGAAAGAAAAACAAGGAAGTAGTAATTGGGGTGAAGAAGGGGTTTCCTTTGGTAACTGATGCTAAAACCGTTTTGCCTTCCAGTATTCAAGCTTCTACTCCACAGGCCTTGGTTTGGTCTTCTCAGCTAACATCTCAAAGTTGTAGCCAACAAATTAAGCGATTTGACTGTTCTCAACAATGGCCTCCCCTTGTCTGGCCATCTCTGACTCACCTGAACTCTGACTTCTTGTCACATCCTGCACAACCTTCCAGGGCTCTTTCCCTTGCTTCAATAAGGAAAGCACATCTGCTTTAGAAATGGAAAATCCTGCTTAAAAGAATGGGAAAAGATATGATTATACTCTGCTTGCCCAGAATTAAAATTGAGTCCACTGTTCATCAAGTAAGAAGGTCAATTACAGAAAGACTGGGGGGGGGGAGGGGCACCTGGGTGGCTCAAGGTTAAGCATCAGCCTTCGGCTGCAGTCATGATCTCAGGGTCCTGGGATTGAGCCCTGCATTGGGCTCCTTACTCAGTGGGGAGTCTGCTACTCCCTCTCCCTCTGCCCCTCCCCCACCTCGTGCACTCACGTGCTCTCTCTCTGTTGCTCTCTCATGCTCAGATAAATAAATAATATTTTAAAAAAGATTTAGAGGAAGGATATCTGAAGAACAGAGAAGATAAAGGTACTCAATGGAACTGTCCATTTTAAAGTTTATAAGCCACAAATAACTTAGTTGGGACTAGGGTTCTGAAATTCAGCTAGGTACTTGAAATATTTCCCAAATTTCACAAAGACTATAGTCGAATTATTGGGACCAGACAAACTTACCCAGTGAGACCAAGTTGCTATAGTTTTCCAACATCACATCTCTGTACAAATCTTTCTGTTCCAAGTCCAGGCACTCCCACTCCTCCTGAGAGAAGTCTACGGCCACATCCTTGAACAACACCAACCTCTGAAATGACAAGCCCAAGTGTTAAAGGCAAAATAAAGGAATATTTTTTAGAAGTAATGAGAGGAGCGCGCACACACACACACACACACACAGTAATAAGAGGAGGAGAAAAGTATTACATAAAGGGGCCAAAACAGTGAACAAATATGTTGAAGCTAACATGGGTAGGTAACATGGGTAGGTAATAGAAGGGAAGTGAGTGGGAAATACAGAGCACCTAAACAATTCCTGAACATTCCTATTACTCTATCACATAGCCTCTTGGGAACAGCAATGGGAATGAACAAAAGCCAGGTAAGTGTATTTTTGTGATTAAATGAAATAATGTGTACTAGCATATAACACATGCAAATCCTCAAATAAATTGAAAGTTCCTTCTTCCCCTGTCCCTTTAAAGAACTGAAAAGAGAAAGAAAAGGAGGGAAGGAGAAAAAGGAGGGCTGGAAGGCGAGAGGGAGGAAGAGAAAAGAAAAAATAAACATGATGGGCACATTCCAAAATGTCATTTAAAATGTTTATCTTAGAAAATAAGATTTACACATGATTTCAGAATTTCTTTCCAAGTTAAGTCTCAGAATAATTTAGTAATAATATTCTTTCTTCCTAGTCCTGGCAAATCCTTTCACAGATATCATTTTTTGAAGCTACATAATATTCCATATTATGATTATAATCATTTTCTTATTTTGCAATAGTTTGCACTCCTCCTCTAACATCCTTCACAGCTCTGTTCTTAAAATCTTCAACTTTTAATCATTTAATCATCTGGCTGATCATATTACCACTTATCATTGCTCACTGTGCTTCTGCTTATTATGAGCAACAGAAAGCTAATGAAAGATGAGCTACCCTCACACTATTCAAATTCAAAATGGACCTTGTCACTGTATTAATTCCTGACACAATTCTCTCTCTGTTCTCAATCCTGCATTTGATCACATTTCCAATCTTAAAAGCTTCACAGAGCAGATCTCACCACATTCTGAAACTAACACCAATTTCCATCTTAATCCATGAGAAAATCCAGGTTAATGAGAAAGGCCAAGTTTTTCACGTGTAATACCATCTCATCAAACAACATTCTGACAGGAGAGGTCACTCAAACACATTTCGTGATTTGCAAATGGATCCCTAAAACACTGTTAGAGAAGAGAAGGGCAGTTGAGAAAGACCTGGGACTCATTCCCATCATTCACTAGAATGAGAGTGAGCAGGAGAACAAACACTTGGTGAAGCAAAAAGTCTAGAGATAAGAATACTGAATATTCATATCCTAGAAAACAATGACTGTGGGCGCCGGGGTGGCTCAGCTGGTTAAGTGACTGCCTTCAGCTCAGGTCATGATCCTGGAGTCCTGGGATGGAGTCCCGCATCAGACTCCCTGCTCGGCAGGGAGTCTGCTTCTCCCTCTGACCCTCCCCCCTCTCATGCTCTGTCTCATTCTTTCTCTCTCAATAAATAAATAAAATCTTAAAAAAAAAAAGAAAACAATGACTGTTTCATATAAAGGGGAAGAAGAAACATGAACTCACACAAGGCATGGCTTAGAATTGCAACTTATGAGTCCTCCTCTGGCTTCTCCTCATGGAGAAGTGCAGTCCTGAGAAGACAGGGAAGAAAAAGGAAACCATGAAAAGAGGCCTACTTCTAAATGACTAAGTATTTCCTCCCCTTTTCATGGTGCCTGGACCCTTCCACACCCAAAAATATATACTGAGAAGATCTGCAGAAGCCTAAACAATCTCACCCCTTCCCCAATTCCAGAAAACAGAGATGTAGAAGAATTACTTTATGCTAAAAATCCCCATGATGTTGTTAGGGTTCCCTGACCTGGCCTTAGCAGTTCATCTTTTATAACCTAGGGGACCCTGATCCAGATTTATCCAAGTGGTTCCCACCTCAAGGACACTGATGGGGCCCTCAGGCTTTGAAATCATCTGTTATCTATGTAGGCCAATTCCTAGGAAAAACACTTTCCATGACTAAGATCTGCCTCTTTCCCCCAGTCTCAACACACTATTTACCTCAAGTGCTTCCCTGGCTCATTCTCACATTCCAGTGCAAGAAAGCATGCTGAATGCAAAGCACAGGCTTCATCTAGGCCACATGAAGTCTCACTACACTCACCCAGTAACCAAGGAACAAATCCAAACACTCTCTAACAGAAAACAACTGCCTATTGCATTGAATCATGGCCTTAGCTGAATTCAGGAACTCTGGAGGCAGTACCTCCCTATAATACTGCTTAACATCATTCTGTCTCTAAGTGTCAGGCTAAAGATGGTTTAAGATAGTGGCTGTACAAGAAATAATTTCCACCGAGCACATACCATGTGCTCGATGCCTTATACACATTAACATTTAGTTGATGAACAAACAGGTCTGTGAATTTAACCACCACCACCACCACCATTCTCCACTCCACCAGCTCTAGCATCTTCCTTATATTTCTTTTTCTAACAGCTTTGCTGACATATAATTCACATTTCATAAATTCATACTCTTTAAAATACAAGTAAATGGCTTTTAACAAATTCACAGAGATGTGCAACCATCACAACTATCTAATTTTAGAATATTTTCATTATCCAAAAATAAAACCCATAGGCATTAGCAATTCCATTCTCATTTCCCCAGATCCTGGCAACCACTAATCTACTCCTTGTATCTATAGATTTGCCTATTCTAGATAGACATTTTGTATAAATGAAACTACAATTTGTGTCTTTTGTGACTGGCTTCTTTCACATACTATAATGTTTCAAGGTTCATCTATGTTTCAGCATGGACCAGAACTTCATGCCTATATATCGCCAAATAACATTCCGATGTATGGATAGAGCATCTTTTTTCCCCATTCATTAGCTGATGGACAGTTGCATTGTTTACATCTTTTGTTACTATAAATAATGCTATTAAGAACATTTAGCTACATATTTTCGTGTGGACATATATTTCTTTTCTCTTAGATATACCTAGAAATGAATTTGTGGGGTCATATGGTAACTCTGTTTAACATTTTCAGGAACTGCCAAATTCTGTTCCAAAGCAGCTGCATCATCTTACAATTCCAGCAAAAATCTGTCAAAGTTCCAGTTATTCCACATCCTCACCACCTTTTGGGGTTATAGTCATTTTTGTGAATTTGAAGTGGTATGTCACTGCGATTTTGACTTACATTTCCCTGATGATATTGACCATTTCTATCCCTTCTTTGGAAAAATATGTTTTCCAAATTATTTGCTCGTTTTAAAAACCTGGTTGTCTTTTTATTGTTGCCTTGTAATAATTTCTCATATATTCCAAAATAGAATTCCTTTACTGAACATACAATTTGCACATTTTGGTCCCATTTTGTGGGCTATATTCTCCCTTATTTCATGGTGTCTTTTGAAGCTCAAAAGTTTTTAAATTTGCTAAAATCCTACTTATATAATTTTTGTTCCTTTGGTTGCTTGTGCTTTTGGTGTCATATAAAAAAACGATTATCTAACCTAGGTAATGGAGATCTCCTTTGTTTCCTTCTAAGAGTTTTAAGGTTTTAGCTTTTTTCTTCCTCAAGTTTTTATTTAAATTCCAGTTAGTTAACATATAGTGTAATATTAGTTCCAGGTATAGAATTTAGTAATTCATAACTTACATACAATACCCAGTGCTCATCACAAGTGCCCTCCTTAATACCCACCACCCATTTAACCCATCCCCCCACCTACCTTCCCTCCAGTAACCATCAGTTCGTTCTCTATAGCGAACAATCTGTTTTCTGGTTAGCCGCTCTTTTTCATTTTTTCCCCCATGTTCATCTGTTTTGTTTCTTAAATTCCACATAAGAGTGAAATCATATGGTATTTGTCTTTCTCTGACTTATCTCAATTAGCCTAATACTATCTAGCTCCATCCTTGTTGTTGCAAATGGCAAGATTTCATTCATTTTCATGAATGAGAAATATTCCATTGGATATATAAACCACATCTTCTTTATCCATTCATCAATCAATGGACATTTGGGCTCTTTCCCTATTTGGTTATTGTTGATAATGCTGCTATAAAGAGCGGGATGCATGCATCCCTTTTTTTGAATCAGTGTTTTTGTATCCTTTGGGTAAATACCTAATAATGCAATTGCTGGGTCATAGAGTAGCTCTATTTTTAACTTTTGAGGAATCTCCATACTATTTTCCAGAGTGGCTAAACCAGTTTGCATTCCCACCAACAGTGTAAGAGGGTTCCCCTTTTTTCACATCCTTGCCCAACACCAATTGTTTCTTGTGTTGTTGATTTTAGACATTCCAACTGGTGTGAGGTGGTATCTCATTGTAGTTTTGGTTTGTATTTCCCTGATGATGAGTGATGTTGAGCATCTTTTCATGTGTCTATTAGCCATCTGCATGTCTTCTTTGGAAAAATGTCTATTCATGTCTTCTGCCCATTTCTTAACTGGATTATTTGTTTTTTGGGTGTTGAGTTTGATAAGTTCTTCATAGATTTTGGATACTAACCCTTTATCAGATATGTCCATTTGCAAATATCTTCTCCTGTTCCATAAGCTGACTTTTACTTTTGCTGATTGTTTCCTTTGCTGTGTAGAAGGTTTATTTTGATGAAGTCCCAATAGTTCATTTATGCTTTTGTTTCCTTTGCCTCAGGAGACATATCTAATAAAACTGCTACAGCCAATGTCCAAAAGGTTACTGTCTGTGTTCTCCTCTAGGATTTTGATGGATTCCTGTCTCACATTTACGTCTTTCATCCATTTTGAATTTATCTTTGTGTATAGTGCAAGGAAGTGGTCCGGTTTCATTCTTCTGCATGTGGCTGTCCAATTTTCCCAACACCATTTGTTGAAGGGACTGTCTTTTTTCCATTGCATATTCTTTCCTGCTTTGGCGACAATTAGTTGACCATAGAGTTGAGGGTCCATTTCTGGGTTCTCTGTTCTGTTCCATTGGTCTATGTGTCTGTTTTTGTGCCAGCACCATGCTGTCTTGATGATTACAGCTTTGTAATACAGCTTGAAGTCCGGAATTGTGATGCCTCCAGATTTGATTTTCTTTTTCAGCATTACTTTGGCTATTTGGGGTCTTTTCTGGTTCCATACAAATTTTAGGATTGCTTCTTCTAGCTTTGTGAAAAATGCTGATGATATTTTGATAGGGATTGTATTAAATGTGTAGATTGCTTTGGGTAAAATAGATATTTCAACAATATTTGTTCTTCCAATCCATGAGCATGGAATATTTTTCCATCTCTTTGCGTCTTCCTCAATTTCTTTCATAAGTGTCCTATAGTTTTCAGATTACAGATCTTTTACCTCTGGTTAGGCTTATTTCTAGGTGTCTTATGGTTTTTGGTGCAGTTGTAAACGGGACTGATTCCTTGATTTCTCTTTCTGCTGCTTCATTGTTAGTGTATAGAAATGCAACAGACTTCTGTGTGTTGATTTTATATCCTGCAATTTTGCTGAATTCCTTTATCAGTTCTAGCAATTTTTTGGTGGAGTCTTTTGGGTTTTCTACATAGAGTATCATGTCATCTGCAAAGGGTGAAAATTTGACTTTTTTTTTGCCGATGTGGATGCTTTATATTTCTTTTTGTTTACTGACTGCTTTGCATATATATTTTTTTCCTACTATTTTCTGTTAATTTTTTTAAGTCTTAGATTTTTTTCTGTACCAGCATAAACAGGTATCATTAGAGAAGGATGTGAGATTTGGGATAACTTAATAGAAATCCCAGTTCAAGGGCATTTTCTTCTTTGATACTGTGATGTGCAATGTTCCTAGTAATAGATTCTTTTTGGGAGTAGGATTTTGTAAGAGTTTTGACTAATTACAAAGTTAGAGAGCATAATCCCTCCGAGACTACCCTCAACTCTGACACGAACTATAAGCTCCCCAAACCAGCTAAGGCCAACTGAGAGTTTAAAACTACTCTCAAGTTCAAAATTCACTAGGATTCATACCTATTCACTGAAAGCTATTATGCTCACAGTTACATAGGAAGTTATTATATGAAAAAAGATACAAATTAAACTCAACTTAGAGAAGAAACACATAGGGCAAATTTCAGGAGAAATACCAAACATGGAGCTTCCATGTCTTTTTCCATGGTGTCAGGATGTGTTACTCTCCTGACATCAATGTGTGATGAAATGCATGGAGTATTGCCATTCACAGAAAGTCACCTGAGCCTCAATTTTTGAGTTTTTATGAGAGCTCCAGATGTGGGGATGGCTCATTGACTATGTCATTGATCTGTCTCCAGGTCAATTGATATCCTGTGACCCAAAGCCCCCACTCTTGGTCACACTGTTGTCCTTTCTCACATGGCCAACCATTACCCTAACGTTATACAGGTGTGGCCAGTCCCTACCCTACATCATATTGTTAGATTATACTGTGTGACCTAAGGCTTCCAAGCAAACAAAGATTCAGGCATCACATTCCAAGGGCCCAGAGATTACCTCCCAAAAGTAGTAAAATGACCAGACCTCTCTTTGGCAAGGCCAAACTCTTAGCTACATAAATTCTGTCACTTCTGAATCTGTGACATTCTTTTGGTTCTGAAAAGCATTTAGTTTCCAACACTTGATTCCTTTTT